TTTTAAATTAATTGACCTTCTTCTGCAGATGCCTGATGGATGGAATGCAGGATGACTCCTCCTCGGCCTTCATCACGCCAAGGGCCCAGCCGGACAAGCTGCGGTTTACGGTGGATGCCTTCAGATTCCTTGGTGTAGAGGTGTCCCTGGTGAGGACGGGTTTGGATTGGCTGCAGGTGGGCGCGTTGTAACAACCAGTGACGTGTGGAACCTCTTCCTGTTTCAGATCTACATAACCTGTTACCTGAAAGCTGCTGCAGCCACCCAGGTCCCCGATTCCATGACCAAGGCCTGCTCCTACAGCAAAGCCACAACAAGGTGAGACAATTGTCTTTGGTGTATTCATACTACTGAACTCGGTGCCATTTGTGCTTCTTGTATGTGTAACTTGGGTGAACCTCTGAACAGGAGCTGGACCTAGATTCCAGTAACAAGAAAATGACGTTCCTGAAATGGTGGGAACCTTGAATTGGTGCACGGGCCGTCTCGGGGCCTTTCCCTTACAATACACATGGGTTATGAAACCTCATGGGCTCAGCCCTGAAGCTCACAGCAGATCCTCGGGTACCAGAGTCATCATTACTATAGGTATGGGGTGCAGCATCTCAGACACCTGGTCCTCTACAAACTCCCAAGTGGCTCAGAGCTGCCCCTCTAAATGGGACAAGCTGCACTGACACCCAGCATAGTGTCTAATCTGGCTTCCTGACGCCATATAGTGGGTACCAGGTAAGGCAATACTAGAAGAATGAGGTCTGGATGCTCCTGGAGGCAGTTTTGGGGTACCTGGTCTCCAGAAAACAACATGCTTAAGTCTTCTCTGGCAACAACTGGATCTAGTATCTCACTCCTGAACCTAGACCTGATATTGGTTATATTAAGTGGAAAACATCTAAACCTGTCTAAACCAGCCCGGTACATGTTCTTGTGGTACTTGCCTAATAAAAGGCATCTTTATGGTGGTCTAAAGTCCATTGTCACTAAGACATGCATTAGCACCACTTCAAAATCAGAATACACTTGATTCCCCTAACCTTGGAGGCCTCTTCACCCCGCAAACTGTCCAGCAGCTTCTGACAATGGCCTCCAACCCAGAAGTATGCAGTTGGGTGTGGCTTTACGTGTGTGTGGCCAGCTCCAGACTGGGAGCGCTTGATGCTCCATCCCTTCCACCAGGCACTGCAGAAAAACCTGAAGTAATGATCCCCCCCCCCCCCCCAATTGTCTTTTGGTAAATGTGCAACTTCTCTACACAGTACCGACTCCACCGGAATGTAGGCTGTGATACTGACCGTTGCTTGCCTTCTCTAGCTGGTCTGCAGTTGAGGGTCCCACCAGTATCTGCCAGTGTTGTGAGATGAGCACATGCAGCAACCCTTCTGGTCCAATAGCTGGAGGAAGGAGCCGGTTTGGAAGACCAAGAGCATTTGGGAAGAGGGAAGCTGTGACTGGTGAGTTGATCTGCAGCTGCAATATGATGGTGGGCTGGAGGTGTCATCCATGAAGTTCCTATATCTACGTCAGGTGGCTTTAGGGACTTTTGATGAGTGTTTGGCCAAGAATTCCCAGAACTTCTATAGAAATGTAAAACCTTAAGAGGTCCGTTACACCGGCCTGTGAATTGTCTCCTCAAACTGGGGCCAATGAACAAAGCCAATGAAATTGTCGGTCTGCACTTTAATGGAAAGTGGATCTGAAATTCAGGAGTGCATTGGGAGGTGTTGGTTGATGCGGTTAGAACATGTCAGGTTTCCGGGTTTGATGAAGGAAAGTGTTGGAGCTTTCCAGTGAAAACCTCACTTGGGGCTCTTCACCCATCAGTGTGGTCAAGACTACTGAAGGTTTAGTGCAGTCTCTCTCCTGAGGAGATTGCATTGGTGACCAGTGAGTTGTCACAGGAATAGAATGGGACTTCTAATGGGGATGTCTGGAAACTGGGCTTCCTCACTTCTGATTATGGGATAACCCTAAGCAGGGTACAGATGTAGAGCCTAATGGGACCTTGGTCTATGGAGTCAGCACTGTCTCTAGGACAGGTCTGCAAATGCCCACCACGTAAGGAAGGAGGTTTTGTAGTCTGCTGATAAAACAATTCATCTTTAATGTGGGGTGAGGGGCTACAACACTATCAGCTGCTTGTGTCCCAATGAAGACTTGTCCCATAACTAGGACTGGAAGAAAGACCTTGGTGGTTCAGGCAGCAGAAAACCTAATGGGTTGCAACGTCACTCTCCTCCTGTCCTGTCCATCTCTTGGGTGAAGAAACCATTTTAAAGGACTTGTAGAGTCCCTGGTGGTTGGTGACATCTGCACACTTGAGTAAAGTTGAATTGACTAATTTGGCACCTCCTGACCCCCTCCAATGCTCTTCCTCCTACAGAACTCAACATAGAAGAGGGACAGAAGGTGACCACTCTAGGACCTCTAATTGTGATCGGGCCAAAGCAAAGTGATGTGGCAGCTGCTGTGACCAAAGAAGAGTCTCCCCCGCTGCAGCTCTGGGTGTTGGTGGCCATCGGATGTCTCAGCCTTCTTGTGGTCCTTGTCTGTGTAATGTTCATCAGGAAGTCTCTGACAAAGTCTCGTGTGCTGTCCGTGGAACAATAAAAACAATTCTCCTTTAATCTGGTCTACTGCTCTTCATTTATACCTGGAATCCTCCAACATTGCATGAGACTGGGGGGTCACCATTGCTGCCCATAACACCTGGGGGTCACTGAGGGGATCTGAATGTCATTGGTCTATGTATTCTAGAGGTAAGAGGTACCTCCAATATACTGCTACAAGTGATGTTGGTAATCTCATTAATGGGGACAGTGTGGGGCTGAGTGGGAGATGTTGTAGGACCAGCAGAGGTACAATGAGGGGAGAGGTTGTAGGACCAGCAGAGGTACAGTGAGGGGAGATGTTGTAGGACCAGCAGAGGTACAGTGAGGGGAGATGTTGTAGGACCAGCAGAGGTACAAGGAGGGGAGAGGTTGTAGGACCAGCAGAGGTACAATGAGGGGAGATGTTGTAGGACCAGCAGAGGTACAATGAGGGGAGATGTTGTAGGACCAGCAGAGGTACAATGAGGGGAGATGTTGTAGGACCAGCAGAGGTACAATGAGGGGAGATGTTGTAGGACCAGCAGAGGTACAATGAGGGGAGATGTTGTAGGACCAGCAGAGGTGCAATAGGGTAGGGCTACATTCTGATGGGTGGAACAAGGACTCTGGAGGGCTACGGAACACAACATTTTGAAGCGGGGAGGGTGTTTTGTAGTCCTGTCCTAGGGTGAGGATGCTGCTTCTCCATAGACTCAGTACAGTGAGAATTGTGAACCTACAAGTTATAAAACACCCAACGCGGCATGCAGCAAGAGAAGAACAAAACTCACCGACCCTGAACCACAAATGTCCCGCACTACAATACTGGGAGATACAGAAGGATTTGAAGTAGAATTGCTGATAAGTTGTCATTCTGAGAAATGGCCACAAGGGGGCGGGAACTCTACATATGTTCTCTAGTCTCTGAACCGCTGTCACATGGCCACATGGGGGCGATAGATCTACATGTGTACTCTAGTCTCTGAACCGCTGTCACGTGGCCACATGGGGGCGATAGATCTACATGTGTACTCTAGTCTCTGAACCGCTGTCACGTGGCCACAGGGGGGCGATAGATCTACATGTGTACTCTGGTCTCTGAACCGCTGTCACATGGCCACAGGGGGGCGATAGATCTACATGTGTACTCTAGTCTCTGAACCGCTGTCACGTGGCCACATGGGGGCGATAGATCTACATGTGTACTCTAGTCTCTGAACCGCTGTCACATGGCCACATGGGGGCGATAGATCTACATGTGTACTCTAGTCTCTGAACCGCTGTCACGTGGCCACAGGGGGGCGGTAACTACACATGTTCATCTGCTGTGCTGAGATATTGTTACATCAGGGAGGTAACTTTGTTTCTTATCAGCTGGAGAATTTATTCTATGAACCCGGGACTGTCCCCTACCCCGGGGGAAGGACCA